ATCTATCTAACATTCAGTTATGAATGCGTCTCTGTATAATTCCTGATAAGCAGCACTGAGTACAGTCACAGGGTAAGAGGGCAGGCCCACTGCACCATGCAAAGGGTCCCCAAACACACTCCAGCACTCCTCTTCAGTCCTGTGTGTTCAAACGCTCAAAGTAAACCACAGAAACCAGGTAAGAGTCCAAACACTTCTCTTTTCTGTTTAATGATTGCTATTATTTTTCAACATAATGCTTTTTCTTGTACGGTAAAGAATGCCTTTCAGTAATTTGTTTTATTTGGATCTTTTTGCTTTTGTTTAATTGGTTTGAGATATAACTAGACATGAATGTGTAATTGTTCAACATTAGACATTTTTCAGGATTATTCTTATAACTAAAAAAGACGTTGACCTGTGGAAAACACAAAAAATTGGATAAAAAAAATAAATTTCCTAAATTTTATGTAAAAATCTCTGAGATATATTACCTGGACATATAGTTTCTTTATATTGTCACAAAGTCTACAGCAGACATTGTTCCTGTTTTTGAGTCTTAAATTGGTAAGCAACATTTTCATATGGTTGACATTTTTTTCGATTATAAGAAAACACAGTCTCAGTGTCTTATGAATTGAAGTCTTTTCCTATGAGGCTTGTGTAGTTGTTCAAATTTTGTATCATAGAGAAATGATTCCCTATGTCTCTTATGAAGTTCTTGTTTACAGTGTCGCATTTTGCCCTACTCATTTGCATGGAGAGTCTTCCCTTGGCGTTGGCCTCCTCAGAGCAAGTTGTCTTGTTTTGATAAGACATTTGGTGCGGTGAGGTCATCGTGTAGACGCCTTATCTTCACAGCCATTTAAAGGGCAGTCTCCCTAGCTGGGTCTTTAAAAACTCTTCGAGACATGCAGACTGTTGTTTTCTATTCTGCATCTTTCTCTTATTTTGCTATTTTTCATTCACTTCAGTTCAGCACACATTGGAATGAACACGGATACTGAATACTGATTGCATATAAGGAAGCAATGCTTGTTTGGTTACTGAATGTCAATATAATTTACTTAACTTTAACTTCATATGTAGCACAGCACAACACTAACACTATAATTTCAGCTTTATTTCAGTCATATCTTGACATCAGTAATTATTTTCTGACAAATATAGTTCATGTCAGTCATGTTTCAGAAGTCCTTTGTTAAAAATATTGTATGATGAAAGTTTGTGGAACGCTAACATTTTCAGACCCCTTCGTTGATCTGAGCTGTTTTCTAAATCTCAGATGTACGTACAGCTGATGTGAGCTCAGGACAAGCCGGAGAAGGCATATACGCTTTGTATGTGTGAAACACAGTCATGGATACATTGACAAGGACAGAGTTAAGCTGTCTACTCAGACAGCCAAAGCAGTGAACGGGTTAGGCAGGAGAGAAGGGCCACGTAATCTGATGTCCCGCCTGCTGCTCATCTGAACTAGTAATGGTCTGCACTTAGGAGGGTGTTGCTTGGGAAGGCTGCCAACACTGGATTATAGGACAGCACATGTCAGTGAAAGGGCACCTGGACGCAAATACACACATGCTCACCTATGCACACAAACTGTCTACGCAGGTGCTCAAGTGAAGGAGATTATTCAGAAGTGCGTTTCGCCTCTGCAGGAGGATTAAACTCCTCGCAAACTGACAGACAAACGGAATAGGAGCAGCTCTCCAATTGTAGCTTCATTTTTAGCGGCCATTAGCTAAATGCTTCCATTTCCTTTCAGGTACCTCTTTTACTGAACGACAATATCAGGCGGGCGAGGCTTTCTACATCAGCATGATGGAGACAAATACAAAGGCAGAAGCGGAAGCTCAGGAACCAGACAACACCCTGGTCGAGAGCCCGGAGGTTGCAGAGTTTGAGCTGACATCAGACCGTCTGGAGCAGCTGATGAAGAGCATGGAGGTGCTGCTGTCGGACGTGGAGCAGCTTCGGAGCAGCTGCAGCCACCAGGCCACTGAGCTGACGCGCGCGGCGGTGGACCTGAAGCAGCAGCAAGACGATCTGAAAGAGAGCTACGCCGAACTGTCCCGAGAAATGCAGGAGATAGTGGATTCAGTGGAGGACCTGTTCAGCACCAAGAGCGCCTTTGAAGCCAAAGAGAAGCAAGCACAGAAACTCAACCGACAGCTCTGAGAGAGAAGGGACTGGCAGCGTTTAATTGTGGAGAAAATCATTGTGTGGGGTGGTGGTTTTGGCTTTGGGTGCGCAAGAAGCAATTTGGAAAAAATGGGGGGTTTGGAGCTGTTGTGGTTTGAATTAAAGCTCTAGTGAAATTTTTGAATTGTATTTGTTTTGCAGATTGTTATTTTTAGACATATGTGTGTGTGTGTGTGTGTGTGCAGGTGTGTGTACAAATACATATATTCATTTATATATAAGTATATATATATATACAGAAAAATAAAAAAAATGTATTGTCATTGATTCTGCAACTTTACAAATCATGATAAAATACAGCTTCCAATGTCTTTTTTAAGAATTGTACATTTCGAAAAAGGAAAAGAAAAACTTAATGCACTGTCACTGTTGCTATGTGATCTTTTCTTGAACATGACCCAACATGACTCTACAAAGGCACAGGTAGTGCAGTGTGATTGCTTTACCGTCACTCTGGAATTGATAGATAGACTACCATAAAAATATCTTGTTTTGACGACCTGGATGGATCCCTCTGGCTTGGTAAAATTCTGGCACAGGATTGTTGTTCTTGTCTCATTTCCCTCTGAACATCGTCCATAATCTTCGTGCATCCAAGTCAGCTCCACTGTGGTTGCTCACTAAAATTAACCTAACCAAAGCCAAAAGGCGGTGTTTTCCTCCAAACAGCTCCTCTGCTGTGACTTATTGGCCTGTATTTAGTGGTTACAGGATGTGCGACAGGGACAATCAATGGTCAGTAGGCTATAAAAATAAGCAAAAGAAAAAGAAAGAAATATCAATGGAAAGTCCCTTACATTTAAATGTACTCAGGTTTATAGGCAGTATGAAAACATGTTCAAATTTAGAATTCAAAAGAGAATCCATTCTTTAATGAGCCATGGTATACTATAATTCTCCTCTTTTTCTGCATCATTCACTAGACTGAGGACAGATTTCACTACATTTGAGAGGGAAATACTTTTTACTGTTGTTGATGATTGAAACATTTTGCAAATGCCACTCTCTAAATATGTATGTATAAATTTGCATTTATATACACAACACACACACACCCACACACACAACTATCTAAAAAAAGAAACCGTTTCATTTCTGGAAAAAGCAAGTTCATGTCTTTATGTGCGGTTGAAATATGACACTTCTTGGGCCGTGGTTTTGGAAACGTGGAGAGGCTGAAAAGATAGAAAGCTGGGTGTCAGTTCCGGACTCGCATCACTCAGTGCAGCTGAGCTACCAGCCCAGATTCCCTTGAGGAAGGTAAGACAGCATTGAGATTCAAAAAAGATTTACAAGTTTTCATCCATTCTTTTAAATATGTTGCATTGATTTAACCTAAGGATATAAATCACCGGGGCTTATGGGAATGTTTTTTATCGTGTGGTACACCTGAATGTTTTATAAGGATAATTATGACTATGATTATATGATGGTGTTACATAAAAGTCTTTATATAAAAGTTCAGTTAGTTAAAAACTATCAATGTCAGTGGTTCAGCAGCTTTTGGTGAACATGAACATACTGCTGGTCCTGGGCCTCCTGCATCTGCTGCCCGTTCCTGCTTTAACCGTGAGTCTTATTTTCAGCATTCTTGATGACACTGCACGAATACATATTCATGTCAGTTAAAGAAGCTAATGTTGAAATTCTAATGAAAAAATTCATATTAAAATAGTTGCAAAGAGACATAAATTTTTTTTTACTGGAAGTTAAACAAAATAGTGTTGTTGTTGTAGTGGTTTCCTGCTTTATTTTAGTCTCTCCTGGACAACCACTTGAAACAATACACAGTTGATTGCTGTAGTTTTGTGAATTGCCCCTCAATACTCCTAGTTTTCCACCACCTCTTTTTCAGGGTTTCTAATGATATTTTGTTCCAAGCTACAGGAGCTTTTCACGTTTTTTCCCCCCAAGAAGGTAAAGGTACACATCAGGGATGTTTGCCTTTGTTTTGAGGGAAGTGTGGTGGCTAAAGATCCCTGAACATTTTCGTGATGATATCATCATCCTTGAAGGCACAATCAAATTTAAGAAATTGGTGCCCACGGAAAATAGAGGGTGAAGTATTTCCGTTTGCCTGACCACAGCCTATCTGAGGGACAATGTGTATTTTGTAAAAACAGACGGTTTGAACTCTGACCGTTAATGCTGAGTGTCATACAGCCTTGAGGCAAAAGTGTTTTGATCACGTCTTTGGATGAAACACCAGACTACCCACCAGCATGTTTATGTTGTTTACGCCTTAAGAGTTTTGGTCTTAACATCTTACACAACACAGAGGTTGGTAGGCTTGTGGGCACAAGTTCCCGCTTCTATTTAAGACTCTCTTGCACATCCTTGCTGTGTGCTGGTGGTTGGTGGGGATGGTGTGGTGCATAACGCCACTGTTTGTACCAGAGGCTGACTGAATATTTACTGCTTCTTTCTTTCTTTTTTATATTTAAACTTTTTTTGCTTTAGCTGACACGCCCCGTCAATGACTACTGGGGGGAGTTTGGGGCCTATGGGCCTTGTAGTCGTACCTGTGGAACAGGGGTGGCAATGAGAACACGGAAATGTATTACCTCAAGGTAGGACATGACATAAATACATATGTATAAAAACGTAATTACCCTCTATTTGTAATTTAGAACTCATATTTAGATATCTTCCTTATCTGTCTAAAATTCATGACCCCCATATTTTCTGAACAATTAATTATACATCCATTATAAATTTACCAACAGGACAGATGGAGGACATAACTGTGAAGGATCCTCTAAGTCTTACCGCACCTGTAACACACATGTAAGTATCCTGGATCTCTTGAGAATCACATGGGCTAAGCAATGATGTGTCACGTATTGAGGAAACATGAAATTACAAGTGCTGTTTTGGTAGGAATGCCCTGTTGGATCAAGGGATTTCAGAGAAGATCAGTGCTCTGAGTTTGATGGAATGGAATTTCAACGAAAACGTCACTCCTGGGTGCCGTACTATGGAGGTATGTGATCCGCTAAGAGGGGTGACAGTGAGGTTGTCCGTTCAACCTGATCTTTGGGGTATTATACTACAGATGTGAGCAGAAAAAGATCTGACACTGTTTTGTGATTTTACAGCATCCAACCCATGTGAGCTGAACTGTGTACCAAGGGGACAAAATTTCTTCTACCGGCACAGACCTAAAGTGGTGGATGGGACTCCATGCTATGTGGGACGCACTGATATTTGTGTGGATGGCATCTGTAGGGTGAGAATGGATTTTAGCATTTAGAAGTGTGCAATTAAAGACAGTAATTCATGCTAAAGTTTATTTACATAACAATACAACTATATGCTTGTGTCTGAATTCATTTGTCAAATTAGTTTTCTATGACTCTGATATTCTTTTAATACAAACGGTTTAGAAGAGCCTTTTCGTTTTTAAGTCTATGAGACAGATAATGCATGAATCCTGAATAGCAACATTTGTAATCTTCTAGTCTGGAAATTAAGTTCCACACACTGTTTATGTACTTTTACAGGTATTGACCCATGGGGAGTTTATGGGTATAGATAATGATACAAACTCCGTCCACTCCAGTACTCCTGTTGCTGTTGCTCCTCATCCAAGAGACACATTCACGTACATCTACAGGGCTGGTGTCTACGGTGAGTGCTCTGCTACCTGCAATGGAGGAATGCAGTATCGCAGTGTGGAGTGTTTGGTTCAGGACCCATCGAACCCCCGAGTGGTGGACGAGTCTTACTGCATCACCCAGCGTCTGCCCAGGCCAGCCAGTCAGCAAGCCTGCAACACACATCCCTGCACAGCAGAGTACAGTGTCTCCAGCTTCAGTGTGGTTCGTATCTGACATCAGAGAGCATTTTGCCCCTTTATCTATAATCGTGAAGATGTGGTATCAAAATGTCTTTGGTGAGATCACGAAAATCAACTTCTGTAATCTATTTTTACATTTGATTGTCAGTGTTCAGCAACTTGTGGGGAAGGACAGCAGACAAGGGAGGTGTTCTGTGTGGGACCAAATGGAGAGCACATGCCTGACCATGCCTGTAGAGGTTTGGCACGACCTCCTTCTGTGCAGGCCTGCCGCCGACCTGCCTGTCACTTACACATAACCTGGCACGTGACGGAGTATGGACTTGTAAGAGGACACAAAATGAAGAACAATATATAAAAAAGACATTTTAGTGTTGCAGTAAATGTGATGTTGTTTCCCTTTTTGTGCCTGCAGTGCTCCAGAAGCTGTGGTGGTGGTGTGAGGGAGAGGAGGGTTGGCTGTTTTGACACCGATCTGCACCC